AATCAGTCAAAGATTTAGTTAAGACAGCTTCTCTCTGACTCCCTGCCATAGCTAAATCCATTAAGGCGAGGAAACATCACTTTAAGAAAAGGCACTGCTCTCCGTATGTTCAATTTATAACTTTTTGTTCTTGAATTTAATGGAGCAGTCAACTTGGACAGATTTGACTTCGGAGGGGTGAGGAAGGGGGAGGTGGGAAAGGTTGTTTTATTTTTAGCATTCTAATCTTCCACGCGCCTGGATAGCCTGGGAAAGAAAATAGTCACTTGAGTCTGAATGTGCTTTCATGGGTTTATAATTTAAATCTTTGGTGTTGCATGAGGGAATCTAACAAGAGCACCCTGTGTGCTTTGCCACCAAGATGATTCAATGATAAAACTTGCTTGTCAAGTTTTTCCCCTACTAACTTGTTTAATTGCAGTAACATTCAGGCTTTGCAGGATGTGATAGATTGACTGTTCTGCCAGCACTGCTTTTTCCTCTCTAATTACCACCTAGCTGTAAAGGCCCTTTCCTGACACACTTAATGGAGAGGCAGATAAAACAGGTTTGCTTACTTTTAAAATATATTTCTTTCATTAGCAGTTATTTTCCGTATATTTAATTTAAACCATGTGCTTTCCTTCCCTCTCATTTGTTCAGCCATAAAGATCTGAATTTTGAAAAATCAGTTCAGCAGCTAATGTCCCTATTTGTACTGAATGTTTAGAGAAACTTTACATTTCCTCTTCAAGGCCACGGATTTCAAAATAAGTTATTTACACGCTACGGAAGAAATGCTTCTTGGTTAAGTGAGAGCTGACAACGACAGTTTTCATTTCAAACAATCCAGAATTCCTCATTGCCTCACACATGCTAGAGTGCTAGGCAAATGTTTAGCTGACATAATGCAAATGATTGGCCATAGATTTATTTGACAAACAGTTGAGCAGACAGCCCTACACTGCACTCACTTGTACCCTGCACAACCCTGCTGGAGCCAGGAGGATTTTGCTGGCATAGACACGAGCAGAACTAGACCCAAACACTGCAGTTCACACACGGAGCCACTCACTTCTGGCCACTAGCCAGCACAACAGCCACATTTAAATAAGCCACCTGCTGAGTAGGGAGTTTGAAGAGCTAAGTGCTCAGGAGGGCTTCAGCTGGAAAGGGTACTGAACTTATGCAATAAGGCATGAAGTGAAAGGATTTCAGAGACAAGGAGTACTGGAGGCCTCACTACAGGCCTGACCTCTGGTTCTAGGGCAGTACAGAGCAGTGTTCAGGACCCTTCCCTGTCTTGCCTATGCTACCACATAGGGTAGAAGCTCTATCCAGAGTCCACCATTAAATGCACGTCCCAAGGAATGAACCATACCCAGCAGCTGCTTGAATTTCTTTTCGTTTATATATCTAACAGTGCTACAGAACAGCAACGCTTATGGGGAACACATTATTTCCCTCTGTTTAAATATCACTATGATGTTATTCAGAACTTGATTAACAGCATGAGGGGCAGAAATCCTTTCCCATTGTGCAATCCCTTTCTTCCCAAGCACTATCTTGCCAGTAGGCTTTGTCTGAAGCACCTCACGATCCTTTTCCCTCGGTTAATGATCCATTAACAAAGTCATCCTCAAGCATCTAGATGCTGAAATGAGACCCCACACTTTCTGCTGCTGTTTATGTGCAAGAAAATAACAACTGTGTTATTACCAATCTGGTGACCAAAAGTTCCCCAAAGAGAGAGACTGAACAAAGTGACAGAAAGGTGAGAAATTCTGCAACAATAGCAGATTGCAAGTGTGATATTTGGCTCCTCCTTAGCCCCAGATTGTTCAAATAAATCTACCCAAGGAAAGCGGCAAAGAGCACTGGCCGAGGGGCTCACTCAGCAAGGGCCCAGCAGCCCCACCAGCAGCCAGGCTCAGCCAGAATGCTCTTCCCGAGCTTCAGGTGAACACACCTGATGCATCACATCCACCTAGGAAACACGCAGCCCCTCTTCCCTCATTTACACTGTTACTGCTTAACTTTTCACCTTCTCAGCCTTTGTTCAGAAATCTCAGATACGCCCTTCTACCAGTGGAGACTGCCAGTTTATTTTTTATGTCTTTACCCTCAAACTGTCACACAAATGCCTCCTGACTCGGTGGTGACACAGAGGTTGCAATGTCAAGTTCAGCAGCTGACTCACACGCCATTACTCACACAACTGCCATTCTCCTTTTAACCTCCCCAGCCTGTGTTTAAAACTGAATATCCCCTTAGCTATCTTGCTAGGAAACACTTAAGTACTTAAAAAATGTTATTTTTGGTGTGGACAAGCTCTTATTTAGATACAGGAGAACATGACAAGTAAATAATCTTAGCGACAAATGCCTTAAATCTTCACTCACCACAGTGTAATTTCATGGCACTTTGTTTCCATGCAAAGAGCATTTAAGGATTAATAATTAGCCAATGAAAAAAATGCAGCCAATCTATGTAATATGACAGAAATAGATTTGCCACAGTAGATCCTCTTCTCCAGGTGGCCCTGCAAGCATTGTCCAGCAATGATTTGCCCTCTGGTACCATTTTTGCTGATCACATCTCAACCCTTGCCTCACTAGTGGGACAGGCATGCCCAACACTCACTGCACCCTTGTTCACCAGATGCAGTTTGCCCCTTGTATTACAGACAGAGCAACCGACATCAGCAGCAGAGTGTTTTATAGCCACAGGGGTAGTGGTGCCTCACACAGGACCTAAGGAGTCTTCAGGGGCTGAGAAAGGAGCCTTCGACCTATTTGTGCGCACGCAGACCCTGTGCAGCACCTCCCTGCAAACCAACATGCACACCCAGCATCACTGTTAGCTCCTGCTCAATCAGACAAACATGCTAAAAAGCACAACCTGCAAAACAAAGGTCTCAGTTAGAAGTGTCCCTGTATCTGGGTGTCTAATTATAAGGGGTATTTCAGCCTATTAGAATTGTAGAAGTTCCAGTGCATGCTTGGAGTTCCCTTTTTCCTTTCTAACTTGGCATTCCCAATCCCTTTGTGCACACATCTGCCCCTTGAACAGGTTTTTTTAGCTGTCCTTTCTATTCAAGAGTTATTAATTGTCACTCTCTCTCTTACTAGCCATGTCCCTGCTACAGAAGTTCTTGTTCCAATAAATGATTAGGACAAGCAGAATGCATTAAAATGAATTATAATAGCAATCTGATCCCCAGTGCCTCAGCAGAACTTCTCCATCACAGGTAACAGCTGATTCCCTTGAGCTTAGCTCTGGAGAAAAAGCACCAGACCCCAAAACTCAACCCAGTAACTCTGTACAGACTTGACCAAGCATGTGGAGCATTCAGCTCTTCCACTGTCCCTGAAGTAAGGAACAAAGATCTCAAAGACTATTCAACAAGCTGGCATAGGCAACTTCATCCCAAATAAATGTAAATGCATTTTACCATATATTATGTGATTACAGCCTCTATCTGCCTATGGTGCTATGTTTTATTACAGGCCACCAAAAATAATTAGCTGGTGACCCAGAAAACTGATATATAAAATCCTTTTAATCACCAATATGGCTTTCAATTAGATAGTGTAAACTTATTAACCTTTTTACTGCTGAGACTTGATTTATGGAATTCCAGCTGCATTAACATTGCAGGAGGAGATAGAAAGTGTCTTGTAAGACGCATTGGGATTAACAGCTGATAGCTGGGGCTTTGCCATCACACAGTCTCACAGAGCAAAGGTAGCATCCTGCAAGTCCCCAGGAAATCATTTCCATCACAGCTATGTTAAAAGTTTCGTCTGTGAAGTGAAAGTGTGTAATTTCTGTCCCTTCATAGACAAACCTGAACACATAGGCCATTTAATGTTTTCAGAACAAGCAGAAGCTGTGTGAGCAGTGCCTGCATTCATAAATAATAAAGGCAAGGGTATGGCTCCTTTGGTACCCAAACTTACTTGCATTTGTCAGAAATACAAATACATTAAATTTGGTGAGTTCTGATGCATGGGAAAAGTTAACAATTGCTTTATTCAAACAAAGATTAAGCATAGAGAGAAGGGATACTTTTTTCTTAGAAGACTGATTTCAAATGTGTTCTTCTTTCATTTTAGCTGGTCAGGTATTTCCCTCTGTAGCGTTCTTTCCTTATACTGAAAATAAGAGAATTCCCAAAATCTTATAGACTGATCTCAGAGGATTTTTTTGCTTCTTCCTGGTACGCAAACAACAGTTAATACTTTCTACAAGGTCTTAGGCATTCCTGGCTTTCTTCCCACAGGGCTGTGTTTCCAGAGATAACACAGGTGAGACAAACAGGCTACTGTAAAGCCTGCTAATTAAAAAAACAGATCTCAGTCAGATGATGCATTGAGATCCAATAAAAGATACAGGCACTCAAGAAGTAAATACTATGCCATACCAGACCTGACTGAATCAGCTAAGGATAGGAAGTCCTGTATTCATAGCCCACACATATCATTTAATATAAGCCACAAGAATATACTGAAAAGTAATTAGTCTTTCCATAACTTCTGTTAGCAGTTTAATGACAATAAAATGGAACACCGATGTTCTTTAAGATCATTTCTGCCATAACACCTAACTCTTGGGAGCTGCCTTGAGAGGACTGAATTAATAGAATTGAAAAAAAAAAAATTAAAAATCTTACTCTTTTTCAAGTTTATGAAGTATTTTACAGCAAATCTATCTTACAGGAAATTTTAGTACACAACATTCCACACAAACTAGGCAAAAGAAAAGTCACTGTTCACTTAAGTTTTTGCTCTTCAAGCTCGAAAAGCTTTGAAAGCCTCAGCAAAGAGAGGCTATGTGTGAAGGTGCTTCAATAGCCACTATCTATAGAAATGGAAACGTCAATATTTGCCATCATCTTTCTGAGAAATAAGTGTTATGGAAAAAGATGCAGATTTTCACTTTTGCAGAAATTGATTTGCACGGTTACTCCAACCTGAACTGCACAAAGACCCCCAAAACCCACACAGCGTGGCTCCTACCTGGACACCCAGCAGCTTCGTGCCAAAGGCAGCTCTGACATCTCCTTCTCACAAGACAGGATTTCTCATACAGCAGAGCAGCACCAGAACAGCTGCCATCCAAGTCACACCAGCTCCTCGAAGTTCTATGAAGGCCCACCACAGGGTCAGCATGATTCTTAAGCACCTTCTCTGAAACAAGGAGAATAAAAATCAGTGGCACTACATAATCCAGTCAGTGCTTTCCTTCGCTCACAAATCTTCATTTGTTCAGCTGAGAACATTATGAACGCTGTCTAGAAATAATACAGTAAAGGCAGTCAATGACAAGTACAGCATAAAGACTAATAGAGATGGTGCTATGATTCTGGTATATCCTATTCTGTTGAAGCACATTTATAATTTTTAATGAAAATGGTAACGCTTTATGATAAGTCGACATCATTTAATGCTCAATTACTATGAAATTCCTTTGGAAATATATATTAAATGCAACAGCTCTGTAGCTGTGTAAGTAAGGTTCCCTGAGATGGATGTTATCTCAGTGAATTCTAGGGAAACATCAAGTCCAACACCAGCACATTCAATATTTCTGCCCTCTGGGTCAGGTATCCTTTTCCCCCTCTCCCACCCTGACATTTGAGACGAGTCCTTATCTACAAAGAGAAGAGCTACATGAATTATATATGTGCTGCACTTAAAAAAAAATAAAAAATAAAAAAATTTGTGACACACACCAGCAAGGCCCTTAGCAGTGATTAACTGAGACGTTTTTGAATTACAAAAAAAGCTACAGCTCCTAAACAGACCATTCTCTCTTGAAGGTCAAAAGGTTTCAAAACCACATCATTTATAAAGGAAGCATCACTTCAGATGAAATGCAAAACCTTTTCAGCAGAACTAAGTTCCCTCCAGCTTCTCAAAAATTCCCCTTAATGAGAAAAGTACCTTAAGCTCTTGTCCTCCTCTTGTAGAAGCTTTTACACCTTAACTTCCCTAGCTCTTTCTACCAGAACTCATCATGATGCTCTGAGCCCTCGAACTTGCTGAGCACAGGTGGGATCACTTACACTGCAAAGCAGGGCAGAACCTCCCTGATGGCCCACAGCTGCTGGCATCTATGCTTTCAGCCACAGCTGTGACTCCCCACTGCTCTCCTGGCAGGTTGAGGGAAAACTTGTTTGTCCCAGAGGTATTTGGGAGGGAAAGCAAGGGGATGCGATCAGTGAAGCAGCAAATTGAACCCTAATAACGAATGGCCAAGTCTTGCTGAAGAAGCCTTAACCCTGAGGCTCCTCTAGTTTAACTGCAATCTCTATTAGTAGCCATTAGCAGTAGAAACAACAAAAATGACTGGGCTTGGTTTGCAAGTTGCTTTTGAGAAGCTGAATCTGAGACAGCCCTTTCTGCTTGGATGTATCCACAGCCAGGGCTGTTATCTGAATGTAGTCCTTAACGTGACTTTGTATGTAAAACCCACTGCCCAAGGAGTGGTGGTGGACTGGCCTCTGCAGTGTGAGGGTGCTGCCCTGCATGCGTTGCAGTGAAGCCTAATGAGATTAGACAAGATATGAAAGATGCAGGGGTCAGGCACAGGTTATGGAAGCCTTCAGTTTGCAACACCACTAGGATCCAAAGACAAATGTAAAGGAGTACTTCTCTTCCCACACAATAAATACTATCAATAGCTTCTTAGCAACTTAGGAAAAGAAAGAACAATTTAAGGAAGGGGGGCATGCTAAGTGCTCTGCAAGAACTAAGATCCTTCCATTTAATCCTAAGTCATATTTTGCATCTTCTGCTATAATGCTTCTTATCCCAGACCTCCAGGCAGCTTAGACACCTGGCATTAATGGCCCATTAATTACTTCAGCATGGGAAATAAATTTTAATATCTTTCTCTTTGATACTCATTACTAAACATTTCACACACTCCCAAGTACACCAGTCCTCCGAGTGCCTCTTCACAACCTCAGGCAAATACCCACACCACTGGCTCATCCATCTTCCTTCTAGATGTAACACGCTTTATTTTACAGTTTGACTTTAATCAACATCTCCCTCAAACCTGGGTGGCTTGTAGTAACGTTTACACCCTTATCCAGGTCACCATTTCATTTAGGAACTCAGGACAAGGTATTTATATTTTGTTGTACCCGTGTTCTCATCCAGTTAGAGGTGATTACAACATCAAGTTTTGCCCAGTGCTTCAGTCTCTGAAGATGAAAGGTGGCATGAGGTATAATGGTAGCAGGTCAGCACTTTCAGTAAGCATCCATCTGTAAACAAGTCCCTTAAAATACTGCAGCAGTGTGAAAGGAAGCTGCATCCTAATTGGGTATAGCAAAAAGCTAAAGGGCTTATAAATATAACGTGTAGGTTATCTGTCTTGACAAAAAAGAGGTGGTTTGTTATATGAAGGACACATTATCCTTTTCTCTTCCTATGATTCAGCATGGTAAGTAGTCATTCCTAATTGGCTTACAGCTTAGTATGAAATATTAGGATGCCACACAATGTGATGACACAGCTGGATTCCTAAGGGAAGCCAAAGAGTGATCTGAGAACAGAAGAGGGACAAGAGCAGATGCGGATCTGAAAAAAAAAATAGTTGTAGCGTACAGAGCAGTATGTCATTCTTTATCCTCCTCCACCCATATACAGCATGCTGCATGCAGCACACCGCTCTCCCAGAAGAAAGGCAGGAGACTTGTCAGTTCAGAGCTCCTAAATAAAACGTGGGGGAAAATGAGATTGCTGGGAGCACTGGAACAGGAAGAGGCAGGCAGGCTGAATAAATCTGGGCAATAGCTGCCTCATCATGAAAAACGTACTGCACAAATTTCACCTCTCTTTACGCATCAAATAATGATTTCCTCAAATTTATTCTGAACCGAAAAGTAGTTGCCAAATTACCCGCTCAAACAATCCATGGGTCGCTCACAGGAGCTCAGCTTTCAGGAGACAAGCACTTAGGCTAGGCACCCAGGTCGTCTGCTGGGGGCTTGTTTCCTGGTCCTGGCCTCGATTCAGGAAGGTAATTAAACAGCTGCCCACCTGAAGTCAATAGGGCCATTCACATGAACTTAAGCGCTGCTGACGCTAGGCTGAGGGGAATAGACTTCTCAGGGGGAGATTTTTGCTGCAAATACTAGTGCTAATTCAAAATTCACTTTCTACAAAGTCCTCCTGCAGTCAGCTGAAATTAGCTAAATCCACTGTTGTGCCTGCCAGGAAACTTGATAGAATATTGCCCAAAGTGAACATAAAGGAGAAATAAACACAGCAGAAATTAATAACGGGAGTTTAGACCAGTAGGTTGCAGAAGACGTGTTATAAATTTCATCCAGCTGTAATGCAAATTCTGCCAAATGAGTGGGAACATCTCTCTTTTTATATCACTGTTTCACTGCATATTAATAGCAACCAGTTAGTGATGCGGTACTAAAATATTAATGATATGGTCATAAACCTGAATCAGCGCCTAACTTGGCAGAACAACATAGGGTGACTTTTCAATCACTTGCAAACAAACCACTTTTCAGAAACCATTTTGTTACCCTGAGACCGTGTGAGCAGAAGTAATTGTGTGGCTAGTTCAGGAGCAGAAATTGATAGTCCTCCTTGGAAAACAGCAGCCTTGTTGAGGTGTACAGTGTGGGTGCCCAGATATTTATGCAAGGCTGAGAGAATCTCAAACCAGGCAGAAACAAAGTTCATGCAATTAATTAGTAAGATTTCATCTATGATTTCATCTGCAGCTGATATGACTGGTTTTTATATGTACATTAGAGGGAATAGCCTCAAGCCCCTGGGGACTGATCATTTCAGCAAGATTTAGCTCTTTGTTTTGGACTGAGTGGGATGGAATATGCTTCCTGTGCAATGCAAGGAATCCAAAGCAAAATTCAGAATGTTTGCACCTGTCTGATATAAGAGCAGGTAAATGTATTAATGCTGCATTGTGTTACCTGTAAACACAACAGAAATTTAAGGCTGTTAAGAAAATACAAAAGACAGAAGCTTTTCTTGCTATGGCACCTTTTATATTTTTCAGTCCACTTCCTAAGCCATTCTACTCAGGATGGTGCAACAGCCAGCTAAACGAGGCCGCTTTGGGGATGCTTGATTGGATTCATAAAAGAGAAACATGTCTTGATGTCCTGTTCCTCCTCGCTTTAGCTATGCCAGCAGATCTGGGTTGGTCCAGATGATGCCATTTATCTACACCTTTCAATCACCTTTAATTGCAGTCATAAGTTAAGGCAAGGAAGGACAGGCACAGAGGGATTCTGCATACAAGTCCCATCAGTCACTAGCAGGAAGAGTCCAACCTAATCAGAGGTGCTAGAACTCAATTTCCTTAGTGGAAATATTTTTTTTTCTACACATACACAGGGCACAGGTAGTGGCTCTCTCCCCTTCCCCTGTCAGGATTCAAAAAAGAGGCACTGGAGGATATTTACAGAGCCACAATTCACAAAGGGGTGTCATACCAAGACAAGCTCTCTACTTCAAAGGTTTTTCACTGTTTCTTCTCAGTCATCAGAGCACGAGTGAGCTGGTTTTGGTCATAACTAACAGAGTTTTCAGTTTATAAGTGCAAAAAATAGCATGAAATTAACGTTATAAAAAAGAAGGGCACTTTACTTCTAGTTTTCTATTGCCATTACATAAATGAGGGCCCAAAATACCACTGAGACACCACTTAGCACTGTTGGTCCCTGGGCGGCAGGTCTGATCACTGCGACAATGTCATTATTATTTGCTGACCAGAGCTGCAGCAGCCATTGACAGCAATGATAATCTCTCTTCATTATATCTGCGAGCAGATGCCATCGAGGTGTGACTGACAATCATCCCTTTCAGAATGAGTGATCATAGGTTTTTCATTGGTCTCAAATCCATTCGCTCCTTGTTTATTAATGACACAGCTGAAATTGTAGGGTTGCTTCTGCTCAGGTGGGAGATAGCACATATTTATTTGATTGACACCTGTCATTAGAAAGCTTTCTCATACATCTCAAGTGGTAAATGATGTAGTCTTGCTGCAAATCAAGTTGCCAAACACAGAAATGGCTGTGGTTTACAGGTTACCAGAGCAGGAGAAAAATTCCACCTCTTTTGAATCTTCTTCTAATGAAACACTGGAAGCACATGGAGCAGTACAAGGACCTCTCAGCAGTCACTCA